CCCCGCGTCCAGGTTGGATCAACGGAATGGAGAACAGCACGCAAGCCAGCACTTCTGTCGAGAAAAGAAATCACCATTGGAGAAGTTACAAGTTGATTATTGACCCGGCTCTGAAAAAAGGACAGCACAAACTCTACCGTTACGATGGGCAACATTTCAGCATGCCTGTGAGTGGGGGGGGGGCGGGGGTTTCCCCCATTGGGTTGTGTATCCCCCCCGCCTCTGTTTTATTGGCGTTTTGGGGTCTGGGGGTCCCTCCTGGTCGCGGTAATCCCCGTCGTGGCACATGTGTGTGGGAGGGGGGTCTGGGGGACACACGCACACAGAGCCACCAAAGTTACTGCCACCTGACACACTATTCAACTGTCAGGAGCCCAGACCTGCGGCTTTATGTCTGTGTTTCCAATCTGTGTGCATTTCCCAGCAGTATTGCAATTTGACACGTGTGTGTATGTCTGTGTGTGTGCTCTCCCCTTCCCTTGAGACAGCCCGTGCTTCCTTAGGGGTTAGTTCTTTTATTCGTGTCTTCAATTTCAAGCCCTGTTATCGCTGGTTTTATGCTTTTTCTCCTCCTCTTCCCAGAACTCGGGAATAGCTCCTGTGGATTGTGTCAGGGATCCCAGAATAGGGCGAATATGGACCAAAACTAAGGAGTTGGAGCTGTCTGTCCCCAAATTCAAGGTACTGCCCCTGACTTTTGGGTTTAGCTCCGTGTTCTTGTTTATCTGGGAGTGAAGCTTCAGTTCCAAATAGTTTAATGGACCGTTTAAATGACAGTCACATTCCTATTAACATTATTATTTGGCAAACTGTTTAACAATAATCCTCCTCTATAAAGATAACGAGAAATCAATGCATTTGTCTTAATGAGATTGCTTGAAGGTTTTGGAGCTTGGGAGCTCCTTGGGTGGGGGGCAACGGAGAGGGGCTCTCTGCTGCCAATACTGCTCAAAATACCTATATGTAGCCCAGAGAGGAGCCGGTTTCAATGAATGGCTGCAGCGGCAGTGGCTCTGCTCAGCTCCAGGGTTCATCCCAGAGCCTCGGAGGCAGTTTTCTTTCCCCAAAGTTTGCAGGATGCTTTAACCCTCTCCCTCCCGTGCCATCATTATGCCCTCCCCCACTCTCGTTAATGATGATGATTATTTTTATCACCCCCACACCTTGTGCCCGTTTCCAGATTGATGAATTTTACGTGGGGCCAGTGCCTCCCAAGCAGGTCACCTTTGCCAAGCTGAACGACAACATCCGCGAAAACTTTTTGACCGACATGTGCAAGAAATACGGCGAAGTGGAAGAGGTGGAGATTCTCTACAACCCCAAGAACAAGAAGCACCTGGGCATCGCCAAAGTGATCTTTGCCACTGTCAGGGGTGCCCGGGAGGCTGTCCAGCACCTTCACAACACCTCCGTCATGGGCAACATCATCCACGTGGAGCTGGATACGAAAGGTGAGGGGGCCATTTCGGCCTCACGCGTTTCTGGTAGTGGCCCTGTCTGTCCCCTCTCCCAAAAGGAGAGGCTGGTGCAAAACGCAAGGGCCTGGAGATTAAAAATACGAAGGGAGTGCTCCTTGTCCCCCTGTGAGCGGGTCTGGTTTCTGGGGCTTTTGCAAGTCACGTGGAGCCGAATGTGTTGTCTGTTGCTAGGAGACAGCACTGTAATTTGCAAAATGCTGCCATCCTGCCCGTCCCTTGCCTTGCACCCTGCCCAGTCCCCCGCTCTCAGCCCTCCGAAGCCTCCCGTGCCCCCCATCTCCCTGTCCCAGACTGGTCCTGCTTGGCCACCTCCTGAGCCTGCCCCAGCCTGTGGCACCTGGCTTTTGCAAACTTGGCATTTTGGGGCAAACCTTGGGGTTCCTGCAACCCAAGTCTCTGATTCTGGTGGCAACAGTGGGGCTGGGTGCTGTGCTCTGCATGCCTGGCGTTTCATTGATACTTCGCAGCAAACTCGAGGCTGGCAGCAAAAGAGTGCACACGCAGCACTTGTCAGTGTGTGTGCGAGTGTGTAAGTGTGAGACTGTCTCTTAAAGCGACAGGAGCCCCGAGCTCTGGAGCTAACCGACTCTCAGCCCCGCAGCCCAGCCCTGGAGAGCCCAATAAAGTTTCTGGAAGCATGGAAGCTTTGCGTTTCACCGCTTTGTCTTTTCCCCTACCTCCAAGTGTGTTAGTGAAGGGCTTTGCTAAAACGTGCCTGAATTTTAGGACACATCTAAAGCTGAGGAGGTGTAGGTCAGTTACCCCTTGAATTTCTGCATTCCAAACATGGCATTTCGAGTTTCAAACTGACTTAGCGCACTTTTTCTTGGGAAGAGGACAGTGTTACTGTCATTTTCTTAAAAATGCTGTTATTTTTGTTCTGTATTGAAAGGTTTCAACACAACCTGTACAGCAGTTGGTGTGCCCCGTGTGGTAAGAGGGTACATTAGGATGTTTATTGACATTACTGGTCCCCGTTAGAGGAAAAATCACAGTCGTAGCTTAGTATTTTCTATTGTGAGCTAAGCTTGACCTTATGTATGTATACTTTGAAATTCTAGTGTCATTAATTTTTACAGACAGCCTCCTTCTCCTGCTTACTTTGAAATTTGAGGGTAAAAATTGCATTTAAGAACAAATTACCATTTGTAGATTTCATAATGTAAGCTGGAGTACACTCGTAAGTGGTGGATGTCTTAAGGAGAGGCATTTTGAACAAGCTGATTATACTACATTTCTCCTTCTCCTCTGTTGATAAACGACTCCGCAAGTCTTGCACAGGCAGCTGTTCAAGAAAGTTAGCTGCGCATCAGGGGAAATGAGGCGGGTTTATGCTTCTGTTTCCTGGGAGAAAACACTGAAATCATAGTTTCAGATTGCATTTTTGGTTGGTTTGCCAGCTGTACGCTTCCAGTGTGGGTTTTTTCCCACTGTTGCATCTTTTTCAAAAAGAAAGACTATTTTATCTCCCCCTTAAAAGAGTGAGACTGTCAGTGTGCTATAATGTGTCAGAATCAAGTTAAAAGGTTACTCCTAAAGTAGCATTAGCAGATTAGGACATTCTAAATAAATCTGTATAGTATTCCTCATTTCTTTCGGGTATTCAGTTCTTCATTGGTTAATGTGATTTTCATAGTCTAGCAAAATAAATATTGGGACCAAAAGTGTCATTTTGTCTGTTTGGCCAGAGCACAGGCCTGGGAATTGGGAACTAATAAATCCAATCTCCTCATCTAAGACAGGCTGGTTTAAAGCAACTTCTCTGCCTCAGTTTATCCATGTACAGAATGGACACTCAATAATGACCTGTCCTTAGAGGAATAGGTAGGAATCGTTTCACACTCATAAACCTCTTTGAAAATGAAATTGTAACTTTTACTGCATTATATTGGGGTCTAGGAAGAATTACGAAACTTTCTAACAATTTGTATTTATTTAAAACCAAGTTTTAAAGTAGGCTAACACTTCCATACCCACGGCATTGTAGTCTTATGGAGGGACAGTGTGTGTTAATATTTCAAGCATCTCTTCAAGCTCTTGTCTTGAAGAGGTCTATTTTGTCATGACTTTAGTTGAATGAAAACAGTTTACATAGTTGAGGATGTGGCTCAAGACTTTGTGAAATGAGATTTGATAACCAAATAACCTCATCTGCAGCATTTATTCAAGATAAATGAGTCTTTTCCACTACGCAGAATCATGCTAAGGGGTGCTTTGCTTTCAAATTGCACGGAGTGATTCACAGGGAGCTTGGGGTTTGATCCTGCAGGAATTCCTCATGAAAGCAGTCCTGTTTTTGGGGAGATCTTGCTCGAATTAATTTCCTGGGCTCAAGTCCCGCTTCTGTCCATTTTTCTGTGTGTTCTTTCAGAGCAAAATTTAGACAATTTCAGGGGCTGATTCTGTTGCCTTTGAGGCTGATGGCAGATTTCTTATAGACTGCAAAATAAATGGGATTGGGTTTTGGTAGTAATGGGAAAACCAGTATTAAACTGGGTCTTTGTAGAATTTAGGAATGAGAAGGCTAAGGCTCAGTAGCAGTGTATGGGACAGTTTGCTTCTCTGGCTTTTGTTCTTTGAAGGTTGCCACTGAGCATATGTTAAACTGGGGAGGGGGAAGAAGGATTAGTCGTCGTCGTTTTGGAAAAGCAGCATTAACGGCTTTGTCCTCGGAATTGTATTAATAACAGCCAGTTTCTACTAGCAAGGTGTGTTGGGAGAGCTTTCTGAAGTGGCTCTGGGTGTTGGCAGAGGCTTGTCCCTTGGGTGAGAGTTTCACTTCTCAAATCTGCACGCTATTTGCTTGGCACTTTGGAGAGGAGGGAAGCTGCTGCTCTCCGGAAAGCATGATGAAGAGTAGAGCTGCCAAGCGGGCTGAGAAGAGGAAAAAGGATTTAGAAACCTCCTTGTCTTGGCTGGAGAAGGGAGTGTTTGACTTCACTTGCCCAGCAGATATTTAAAAACAATCCCTACGAGCGTCAGAGGCGATACCTGCTCCTCCGTCACGCGGATGCAACAGGCTGGGAGTGGTAGCAGGGTCGTGCAGGTGTCAAGAATATGTATTTTTACGTAGGCTGTGTTATTTCTGTTTAATCAACTCTGCTGTTGTGGTCTGTGCAGGTGAAACCCGCATGCGATTCTATGAACTGCTCGTTAATGGTCTTTACACTCCTCAGACCCTTCCCGTAGGCACCGAACAGGATGTGTCGCCAACTGTGAATGAAACTCTTCAGGTAGGTTTGCTTCACCTTTTTTTTTTTTAAGAATAGCTCTCTAGAACATTCCAAACAAATGCGTCGTTAACGTTAGTGTTTTAACACTTTTAATTTAGCATATTTTTAAAATTTTGTCTTGCCATACTTCCAATGGATGCTACTAATTCAGATTTAAATATAACTTGCTCTTAATGGCTGTAGCACATGTAACTCTGTGAATGCAGTGCATGTGGCTAATCTGTATGCCGGTGTCTGCATAGTGTGGTAAGTGCTTTTTGTCTTTCGAAATGAAAAATACCTACAGAACCGACAGTATGTGCCCTATTAACATTAGAAATTCCTGCAGTTAAGAGGACTGGATCAGATCAGTCCCCGAGATGAGATTATTCCCTTGAAGTCAGGGGGAATGATTTACAGTGGTGCATTTGGCCTGGCGACTGCAGTATGTAATCCTTAGCGTGTACGTTCTTCAGGCTTGCTTAAAGGCAAGGTGTCAAATCTTGAACAGTGGCATCAATTTTCCAGAATCTTAATTAGTCACTGACATGAGTTGCTAATAAAAGCAGCGGACAGAATTCCTGAGGACTTCCAGGGGTCCCTCGATGTTTAGGGTATGATTCTCTAAATGGCTTTGTACCGTTACCTGCCTACCTGTGAACCTCACCGGGATGAGGGAGAAGTGATGCCTGTTTGTGTGATGTTGGCAGCCCCCTTGGCTTGTCTAAATCTACTTTGACTCCTGATTGTGGCTTAGGAACCCACTTTAAGGCATCAAATTTGAAAGAGATTTGGCAGAGATATTTTTTTTTTCCAATTCTCTTTACTTAACCTGCACTCTTACGGTTTCTTAAAATGCTATCTTTTCATTAATTATGTGATGAGATGTTTTCAGGGCAGATAGGGGCTCTGCATTGAATGTGAAAATCCCATTGATCTGATAATGTAAAATTCTCCTTTCCCCCCACCAACCACCCCAACAACAAGGCAAAATCCCAGTATCCTCTTAACAAAATCGTAAAGAGGCTGTTTCTTCCTTACCTCCCAGCAAGCTCTTTTTAAAGACAGGAGTGAGGCAAGTGATGATTTTGCTGGGAATTCTCTAGGAGCAGGGCCTGGCTTTTCATTGCTGCTGGTTACAGCACATCTCACATAAATATGGACAGATTTGTTCTTACTCCTTTTACAGGGTTAACAGCAAAACACTTAATTGACGGTAGCCCCTGAAGTAGTCCCTGCTGTGATTATCTTTAAGATTGTTTCTCTAGATATTGTGTTCGTGTATTATCTTAGTATCCTGAATTGAATTTTTTTTTTTCCCCAATCACCACCAAAATTATTGCTTTGTGGGTAACTTTAACTGTTTGCACCATGTTCTTGCCACTAGAATCTGCCAACGAGCTTGTTTGTTGTTGTGGTTTAGTCAAATACTGACATTTGCTTTCCCCTTCATGCGGAATGGCAAAGACCTGACAGTTCTGTGAGCCACTGTCCCTGCCTCTAGGCCACATCCAAACCCCACTGAAAAACAATCCACATCACGTCTACACCAAAGGTGCAGAGGTGTGGGTTTTAGCAGGAAGCACAGGGCTCATTCCTGACCCTTTCTGTGGGTTTTAGAACAGTTGAGGAAGAAACTTCCCTGGTGTCCGTGTGGTCATGGTCTCCCCAAGAGCAAGGCCACGCTACTGAGTGGGGAAATGTGTGTGAGCATAGCAGACGGGCGAGCTCAGCTTGAGTCTGATGGTGCTGACAGATTACAAACAGGTTGGTTTAAGGGTCTCTTTACCTCCCTACGCTTGGGAGAGTAGCAGCCAGCCTGTAGTCTCACCATTCAGCTATCCCGGTGTGCTTCTGGGGAACTGGAGCTCAGTCCTGCCTCTTCTGGACCCGGAGGATTCTCACTGACCTCTTGCTCTGCATTATGGAAAATTGATTCTGGCGCTGGTGATTAGCGTGGCACTGATATGACTCAGCAGAGTCTGAGTTGGAGCAGGGCTGCTCCTAGATCCCCCCGAACGTGCCTGTGAAGGGAGTTGCAGCGCAATTACTTGGCTGCTCTGTAGGCTTGTAGGGTTCCCATTTCAAATGCCATAATCAGTAGTGCTCTACCTGAGCGTGTATCTGGGAAGGTGTTTAAAATGTCTTTTTTGAGCAGTTGAGAACTTAGTGTGCTTTTTCTACCCGTAGCCTTCTCCCTTGTTACAGATGGACATCTGGCAGAGAGGGTGGGTCAGCTCCCTCAGTGGGCCAAAGCCCTGCTGCACAGGTGTTGGTTGCAGGCTGGCACTCTGCCGATTCGTATGTTTTGATTTGTTCACAAAAAAAGTTAAATTGATAGTTTTATATCCCAGAATTTTCTTAATTATCTTTCCTATTTGCAATTTAGACAAGCCTTACCTAGTTGATAGAGATTGAAACTCTTCTAGCTAAAAGTATTGTGCCAGTCTCCTGTTCACCTGATGCTTTTAGATGTAGCCTAGAAGGAATAGTGTTGTATCTGCTTTCTTCTTCCTCCTCTTATAGACAGGTTCCTCTGGGCTAGTCTTTTTCTTTTAAACCAAAAGGAACGGTTAATAATGGGTAGAGGTTTGTGTTTGCAGGGATGCTCTAACCTATTGTTTTGTTTTACCGTGGAAATCAGCGCAAACTTCTCTGAAAACCAAACGGATTAGACAAATGTCTTTTTAAAAGTGTGTGTTTAGGTGCTTTTCGCTTTTCTGGTTTTCTAGTTGACGGATTCCCTGAAGCGCCTGAAAGACAGTAACCTTTCTTCTGCGGGATCATCTGTTACCCCAAACAGTAGCACACCGTTTTCCCATGACACAGCCTATTCGAGCTGTCGGCAGGACACCCCAAACTCGTACAGCCAATTTACCCCACAGTCCCAAGGAACACCTCACACCCCACGGTTAGGGACGCCGTTTTCCCAGGATTCTACCTATTCCAGTCGTCAGACAACGCCCGTGTACCACTTTGGGCAGGACAGTGGGTACAAACCCAGGAGGCATGAAACAAAATTTACAGATGCCTACAACCGTCGACCGGGACATCACTATGTTCATAACTCGGCAGGCGTTTACCGAGGGACGGAGCATCAGTTCAGTACGTACAAATCCCATCAGCAGGAGCCAGTTCAGTTCTCTCACACTCCTCCCCTGAGCCACTCTAGTTCCTCGAGCTACAAATCTGCCTTCTCTCCCTACCAAGCACCAGCTGTATTTCCCCAATCCGATGAGCAGCCGTTTCCCCAAACTTCCAGGGAAACAGAGTACCGAAGACCTGCGCCACCTCCCACTGAGATGGTTGTGGAAAGCAGTGCTGCCACTAACATCGATTTTGTCCCTGTGAAGGAGAAACAGGAGGAGCCTCCACCCTTGCCTGATTCGAGCTCTGCTCCTGAACCGAGCACAGCATCCTTCGCTCAGACTCCAGAGAGGAGCGAGACCCCCGGCACCCCCACCATGGAGTCGGAAATGCAGCATAACAGTTTAGACTCAAGGATTGAGATGCTCTTAAAAGAGCAGAGAACAAAGTTACCCTTTCTTAATGAGCATGACTCGGATAATGAGGTCCGAATGGAAGGTAGCCCTATCTCCTCTTCCTCTTCCCAGCTCTCTCCCATCCCGATGTACGGTTCGAACTCTCAGCCCGGTTACAGAGGTCAGACGCCTTCCTCGCGTCCTTCCAGCACAGGCTTGGAGGACATTAGCCCAACGCCGTTACCTGACTCTGACGATGACGAGCCCATCCCTGGGACAGCTTCTCTGGGTCAGAATTCCCGGGGGACGTCGGAGGCCAGCATGACTCCCATTGATCAGCTGAGCAGGACTTCCAAAATTGAGACCTTGGAGGCTAAAGAAATGGTGCCTGGTGACCAGACTCCAACATCAGAAAAGATGGACGAGGTAAGTGAGCTGGAACCGTGTTGCGGAGCTCCATGTATATCCCCAGAGCTGGACAGGGCAGGGAATCGCTCTTTTCGTGGTGTTAGAGTGTAGGGTTTCTGGAGGCTTTTTCTTCTGCTCAAGGCAGCTGGAAATGGGTTAGACGTGACACAAAGTGATGGTCTTAATCAAGTTGCTGATCTCCAGCTTTCCTTGTTTATAATAGCAGCCTGCTGCAATTTATAGCTCCAGGAGAGCTCAAGGACTGCACAAGCCACGCAAGTTTGGCCAGTGCTCATGCCATGTGAACGTCCCGAGTGTCGACAGACACTTAAGCCACTAGAGGAGTTAATCGAGCACTTTGTGCCCTTGCTTTGGTCCCTGAATGTGGGCGTGTATGTGTGCACGCACTCGCGTAACGGGGCTTTCCTGTGACGCCGAGGTATTGAATGTATACTTTGTTTGATAGCTCTCCAGCTCTTTGTGCCATCTGGTTTGAATGGGGGACAGTTGCTGGGTTTTAGTACTCGCTTTGCTCAGTTGCAGCGGGTAGGTAGTTGGCTCGTGGGGGATGTGCTCCACTGAGTCTTCCAATAATAGAGCGGAGCTTGCTGCCTCTGCTGGGGCATTTGTGGCTGAGGGGACAGTGAGAACTTAACAGTGTGGAATGGTGCCAGCAGACAGGGAAATCACCTTGCGTGGCATGTCTGTTTGGGAGGTGTGTTGCAACAGATGTCCACCGCAGTGATACTCACGTGTTGGTCCTATTCTGCTGTGTCAAAGAATGGTCAAAATACAGATCTTGGCCAGCCCCTTGCTGCTCAGCGTTTATAATAGCCATGCAAGCAAAGAAAACTGCTGTCCCTGGTGTGCAAGAGCTCCGCAGTGAGGGGACCTCAACCGCCCAAGAGGGCTGGTCTTGTGGAAATGTCCTGGGTGGGGTAGATTAATTTACTCATGAAAGCTTGCTGGCGTTAAGCTGGCAGAATGGATTTCCCTCTGGTGGTCTGGAGTTGTGAGATTTTCACCCGAGGGGTGGCTGTGTTTCAGGAGAGGGGGAGCTGCTCCTGTATTGACTTTGCAGATTGCTTAACTGGAGGAACAGCGCTGCAGCAGTATCACAGTGCAGGTCTCCCTGCTAAATAGAAACCAAAATTGTAACTGTAGTGGATATTTTGTTTTTTTTTTTTTCTATGTGCCTTTCCAAACCTGCTTGTCCTTGCAGTTGCCAGTTTAGCCTTTGAAACAATTCAGCTGCTTGAGGTCTCATTCATCGTCTAGGCTGGCCCAGGCTCCCCTCTTGGGGGGGAAAGTCCCTGGCCAGTGGGACCTGATGATGTATTAATTAGGAATGGAGTTTTGATCCCTTGAGCTCGGTCTGGCAGGCTTAAGAGGGGATACTCACAGTTTGTCTAAAAGAATGAGTAAGGCATCCTTCATCTCCTTGCTGTTTGGGGCTTGTATCTGCTCTCCTTACTCTTGTGCAAGTGGTTCGCAGCCAATTCTGAGCATGTTTAGAAAGATGGATGAATGCCAGCGTGGTATGTGGGGTCAGGCACTTTCCGTAGCCGAGAGCAGCACCGGGGGACTGGCTGGCATGTTGTATTTGTAGGTTGGGATATGGGGCAGTGGCGTGCTGGTGCTGAAGCCCATGTTAAGTCTTTGTCTCCCCTTAATGAGATGCTAGTGTCAGAGTTCGTGTGATGGTTCTTTGTTACAGAATGATATAAATGCCTCCATCCTCTGCAGGGGGCAGAAAGGTGGTAGGAGGGTGTCCATGCAGGTCATTGCTGCCTTAATTGTCTGCTCCCCCCCTCAGAAAAGTGATGTTCGTTGCTGGAGCTGTTTATGCAGCCCTCCTCTTGGTTACAAATTACACTAAGCTATTCTGGCATGTTTGAAAAGTTGCCTGCGCCTTTCATTGCTCCTTCTGATGCACAAGAAACGATCTCCATGTGGTTTTGCTTCCTTCCCCCGCCCTTCTCCTCCCCCCCCTCCCCTTTTTTTTTTTGCTTTAGAAAAAGGCTCTCCTGGCTTCCCTCGCTTTTGCTGAAGGAGCAGAGCTGAACAGTGACTTAACATAGGCTGAAATTTGAGCTGCGGCTTTCCAACTGAGTTAGAGAGGGGCATTGAGTCTGTCTGAGGGCTGGAAAGCTGAACCTCCGGCTTCAGCCTATTGTGATACCGCTATTCAACTTGCAGTCCTTCAGAGAATCCTCCAGCAAAAAAGAGGGAAGGCAGACCCGAGTGTTTCTAGCGACTGTGGCGTGGGGAGCAGAGCAGCAATGATGTATTAGCGTAGGGCGGGCTCATTAAGTACCATAAGGAAGCAATAAAGGGCAGAGAGTTGGAACTTCTTATTTACTTCATATTTGGCTCTTCAAGGGTCGTAGCAATCCCAGGCCAGCTCTCCTTGGGCGGGTGCTCTAGCTGGGAAAATCTCAGGATTCATAAGGATGCCAGCAGAGTTGCTGGGGAGTTTTTCCTGAGACAATAGGTGCTTTTCAAAGACTTGCTCCTGTTTCCCATCAAAAGCAGCACGATTTTTGTCAATGCTGCTAACACGGTAACATCTGTTCTATAGGTGAAGTGCTGTCAAATTGTCAGGCAAGTTAACCACCCCAGACTTGCCATAAGTAAAAGAGGTACAGCCAAGCCCCAGCAATTGCTCCGATTTATCATGCAAGACCCTGGAGTTTGATTTCAAGATCCAGTCTGATACTCCTAAGCCAGAGCTTGGCAGGGAGTTTGGGTGTGGGAGAGGAAGGGCTCTGCATCTGTCTGCAACACCCAACTCCGACTAATCTCAGAGCAGTGATTATGGTCTGCAGAGAAAGTCCTGCTAAGCTTAGCCAAGGGACGAGCGCTGAGAGGTGGAACAGAGCGGGACGTGGGCAATACGAGGTAAGAGGAGGAAAGGGATCCTTGACAAACAGCACAACCTGCCAGCCAGGAAGGCAAGGCAGAGAGGGCTTTGTCAAGAAACTAGAAGATGACAAGGAAAGAAAACGGCTGAGCTGCATTGTTGTTTTAGGATAATTTTTGGGGGTAGCCATGTATGAACTTTCATTCTGATTTTCCTGAGAGGTAAGAAGGGAAGAATTGTAATAATTCCTTTTTCACAGGATCCTTGCTGTTTCAGAAGTGCAAAGGTTAAGTAAGTACAGTTTGACGTTTTGACATCCCATTTGAGCCAGGTCTTGTTTTTGCTTGGCTTGTTACAGGAAGAGGCCCTGCCTGTGTGCTGGGGAGGGTGACAGGATTGTAACGAGTCACTTTGCTGTATATTGGTGATGCCTTTCATGTCCCAGCTCATGAACATGTTAGTTTGTGTGCACAGCCAGTGTGCAATAGGATGACCAAATGAGTGACAGTAGTATTTTTCAGATTTCTAAGTACAAAAGTACGTTTTAATTGAGAGATCAACAGACTGTTCTCTTCCTGGTAGTTTGGCTAAGCACCTAGTTACTGTGTTGGGAGGGGTGCCTTAAAAATGCCAAAGATAATCATAACAATAAAGCTCCTGAAACATGAATGAGGTGAGAGCAGTGCTCCTGCTGGTGGCTGTGAATTTTAGCAGATGGTTTGGGGAGCAAACTGGAAGTTGCACAGCAGTCCTAGAGACCCCAGAAGCCACGGCTGTCACCAGCACCCCTCAGTGTCTCACCCAGCTGCTGTGAGTGTTTTTCATGCCGTGTGGGATGATGAGGTGCCTCTTACATTGACATCCCTGTGACGAGCTCTGCGTACCCTCTTGTAGTTATCCGGGGAGAATTTCTGAGCTGTGCTTACACATGAATGAGGGGGGTCAGGCTCAGCCCTACACTGAGCTCTGCTGAAGTCCCTGAGGTTACATCTGGGCTGAATTTGCACTTCTTATTGAAGTATCTTTGGGTTCTTGTGTGGTCGCAGCCAGAACTGGAAGAAATTTATGTTGAAGTGTCACATTGTCCCTCCGGAGCCTTAGCACGATGTGATGACATTCTCCACAAGACGCTGCATCGTGTCTTGTGCCGCTCCACGCTGCTGCATTCCCATCCAGATCGGGCTGTGTTTTAGTAGCTGTAAATGAGTCCCCTTTCCTACAGAGCCAAGTTCAACCTTTAGTTGTCATAAGTGCCTGTGAGAGAAAGCAGCGTCCTGATACCGTCCAGGCAGCGAGGGGAGCTGCGGGGGGTTCTCTGCCAGCAGTACCTGCAGCGGTTGCCCCAGCAGCGTCCCTTGGAACTGTGCAGGAACAAGTTGGTTTCTGCCTGCAGAAGGATGCTCTCTCCTCCTGTACCCTGTTCCTTTCCGTGGGCTGAGCAGGGTCAGAGGCAGCACTCCCTTCCTGGGATGCTGACAGGGGGTTAGATGGAACTCCTAAAGATGAGCCCAAACACACTCTACTATGGGATGTTTCTGGGCTGGAGAGTGCTGAAGTGATTTATTCAAGGTAAATGCACATTAAGGTTGAGAAGGTAGAGCCTTAAGAACCAGGAAATTTGATACCTTGGTTTCCACAGTAACTGTGCAAGAGCCCTTATGCCCATAAGTAGCTGTTATGTATGTATAATATATATGGGTACACCTGGGATCCAATTTACAGCCAGAGTGGGATTCATCATTTCTGGAGGGAGATGGGGGGAGTAGATGTGTGGAATGGTTGCTCTGAATGTACTTTTTTAATTGGAGGAAGGGAGAAAAACCTGAGAGCTGTGATTTATGCCCAGTCTCATAAACACTTTTTCAAATTTTCCTGCCTCCTGAGCCCTTACAAATGCGATCATGCCCGACAGAACCGGTTCCTAATGGAAACTCAAAAAATAGGTATATATTATGACCATGAATTTCCAGAAATGCAGCCAGCCAATGCCCAGGCAACAAAGATTTGGATGACTGCTGTGGTTTTACATGTGAATTACACCAGCCATGCTAAACCTGTGAAAATAAAATGAGATTGAGCTGCTTAAACTGTGGGTTCAGTTCTGCCCTCCCTGACCCATGCACAGCAGCAGCAAGAAGCCACTGGAGCTTCAGGG